CCCTTCAGTGTCTCATCAGCCAGCAGCAAGGTCCAGGCACCTGGGGTCCTGGAGGGTCTTAGTTACTTTCTCCCGCTGCTGAGACAAAACACCCAACACCCAAAGTTAAAGGAGAAGAGGTTTATGTAGCTCACAGTTGGTAGAGGTTTCTGTTCACAGTTGGCCAGCTCCAAGGCAGGATGACATGGCAGAGAGGGGCGTTGCAGAAGAGAAACAGTTCATGGCAGGCAGAAGGCAGAAGGCATGAATCTTTGAGGCAACATCTAGACGCAAGTCATAACATGGAACCTGTCAAAGCCTAGTTCCTGTCTTCACCCCAACCTCAATCTATGCAAGCCCCAATGGGCCTACCTTCATGTCTTCCCTGGGCCTTCTAGAAGCTTTCCTTTATTCCTCTCAACCAAGAATCATGAAATCTTCCTTTGAACTTGCTTTTCCTTTTGTTTGTAACTTTGCTTTGTTCTGTGAGCAGTGGTGAGTTAGAGGATGCTCTTGAGCAGGTGAGTAACACATTCAAAGTAATACTTTAGGGGCCGGGGGGGCGGGCTTTAGCTCAGCGATGCTGCTGCCTGCCTTGCAAGCACAAGGTCCCGAGTTTGATCCCCAATACTAAAACAAACAAACAAACAAAACCCAACAACAACAATCAAAAAAACAAACAACAAAGTAATCCTTTAGGAAAATGGATCAAGATCCTACACAGTACAAAGACAGTAAGGGCCTGCAGGTAGAAGGAGGTCAAGCAGAAGGACTTCTGGTGGAAGAGCCTTTGGAGGAATGAGGGTCTAGTCTTTCTAGGTTAATTCTCCTCTCTTAGCCTACTTTTGTCTTGCACCCAGGAGAATCAGATCCTGGGATTTTCCTAACAGGACTTGTTGAGTCAATGGGAGAGTTAAAACAAGGACCCTGTGCTCTGGCCCATGTCATGGGCCCTTACACTGAGCACCTGTAACACCTTTATCTTTCCCTTCAGCCACATTGCTTGCTCTCTTGGCCTGTGGGGAACCCAAGGGAGGCCTTCCACTAACTGCAGGCTGTGTGAGCCTAGCACTTGGCCCAAAAGCTGGGCCCCCCAAGCAGCCAAAAGCCTGGCAGGTGAGCAACACATGGAAATGTCTTCTGTTCTGCTGGCTGAAACCATGAGCCTGTTTTGTCCATTAGTCCTTATAGCAGCCCTGGGAAGTAAGTCCTGTTCCTAAGCCTCATTTTGCAGTGAAACTGAAGCTCAGAAAAATAACAGTCTTAGCCAGGCATTCACTGGGAGGTGGACTCAGAATGTGAACCGGGATCTGACTCTAAGCCTGGGCCACTCCTCATCATACAGAGAGCAGCAGAAGGGATGTGAGGGTCCCATGGCCACAGTCCCCAGTCCCTAGGTTCCAGTGCAGTTCACCGCGGTATAACCTGGCCTGTCCTTAGAGATGAGAACACAGAGTGGCTGCAGCTGCCCTGCCTGCCAGGTCTTAGGAGTTTAGAGCTTGTGGCCAGATGAGGGGTGCAGCTCTGGGTGGGCATGGAGTTAGCACTTCAAAGGATCTTCCTCCCTTTCGCTGGGCGGGGTCGGCCCTCTCCTGCCTGTGGAGATCGGCCCACACAGAAGGGCCTCCATCTGTGCTCAGCATCTCAGGGACTGGGGGTGGGCGCTGTCCCTGAGGCCAGAGTGTGCAGCCCCTGAGAGAAGCGTGGAAAAGTGCAGACCCCAGCAGCCTTGATTCACACCGTGCTCTGTCCCTCACAACCCACCACCTCTGGATACTGTGTTTTCCTGCCTGTGCCTCAGTTTCCTTAGGTAAAGGGCTCAGTCCAGCACCAGCAGCTGCTCAGAAAGTGGCAGCTACCACTGTGGCTGTAAGGCCTAGACCCCAGTCCTCCTGGTCAGCCCTGCTGTTCCAGGGCTCAGGCCTGCACAGGGCCTGCCTAAACCCCCACCCACCCAGCCCGGCTGAGTTGGGAGTCCTCCCTCCCGGAGAGAGCACTGAATTGGAGTTCTCCTATCAACCCTTCCCTCCTGGCTTGGCAGCCTGAAGACAACATCGGCCAAAAATATTTGTGTGGGTGGCGGAAAGTTAACTTTTCCGCCTCTCTCTTCTTTCCTGGAAACCGTGGCCACCATCAAATACAGCAAAACAGAAGCAGGGACAGAGTGAGGCGAGGCCCCTGCAGGGAGTCAGAGAGCCCTGCCCCCTCCTCCGCCCACTCCTGCTGCCTCTGCCATCTGGCTCTGTGGTGGGGGCGGGGTGGGTGGCTGCAAGTGCTCAGTATCGGGACATCTGGCAATGCCGGAGTCCCACGGCCCTCCTGCTTCTTTTGCCTCGGTCCGCATTGCGCCCTTGGGGAAACGGACTCCAGAGCACAGAAGGCACCTGCCCGGGTCACACCGCCAGTCAGGTGTCCAGGACTCTCCCAGCCCTTCCTGAGAGCCTCTGACACTCAAATGGCAGAAAGCTGGCAGCAGCTAGTGAGTGACACCAGCTAGCTGGAGAGGAATAAGGGCCTAGAGCCATCTCTTCTGTGTCCCTCGGTCCAGCTTCATAGACAGAGCTAAGTTTGAATCCCAGTCCTGTCCCTTTCTAGCTGTGTTGCTTTATCTATCCCAGCCTCAATTTCCTAACCTCTGAGATGGGGAAATAATGAAGTGGTTGTGGGAATCGACAGAGAGAACCCAAGCGAAGATCCTAGGAGGGAGGTGGTTCTTAGTTTCCTAAGCTGAGATCCTTCTCCTGGGCTCCAGGTTGGCTTCTTTCTCCTGATTTTTCTGCCATGGTGGCCCCCCTAACAGGTGCCTGATTATCTTTCTGTTCCTGACTTGTGTTTGCCTTTCCCCTGGTTGGCTCTGATTTGCCCTAGGGCTGGTAATGCGCTTATCTCTCTGCCTGCCTACCCGACTCCTGGCACAGAGGCACAGAGGCCAGAGGCCAAGGCTGCGGTGGGGGACCTGACCCCTGCCGGGACGACAGCGGGCAGCGTCCCTGAAGCCAGCCCAGGCCCTGAGACCATCCATGTCCACAGATGGTCTCAGGGCTCAGAATTCTCACTCTGCACAAGGATGCTCGTGGGCCTGTGAGCTTCTCCCCCATTTTGCCACAGGATGGGTGAGATTCAGAGTTCACACAGCTAAGTAGGATACAATTGAGTCTTTAAACAAGATCTGCTCATTTCCAGGGCTCCTCCCAAGTGTAGTTGCCATGAGCTCTATCCAGCCTATGGACTCTTATCCACCCCCATAAATGATTTCCAAACCTTTGTCCCCCCCTCCCGGAGCTCTCCCCTGCTCTCCAGGCCCCCAAGTAAAACTGACCCCTGCTCATCTTCCCTGGAAACCCAAAACTCAGACTCATCTTCCTGCTCGACCACAGACTTGCTCCTCCCCATTTATTCCTAATCTCTCTTAGACAGCAACACTCTGTTGCCAGAGAGGGCAACCTGCGCTGTATCGTAGACTCCTCTCCCTCCCTCCCTCCCCTCCCACTTGCCATCTGCCTCCACGTCCATCCAGTGCATCCACCCAAGTATCTCTCCCACCCATCCACCTCACAGTCCCTTATAGGGAGCTTACACCCCCTTTCCTGATTGCTGTCATTCTTAACATTTATACACATTACACAATTACTGTTCTCATCAATCATTCATAACTCTCCAGATTTTAAGTCTTCAGGAGCCATATCTTCTTTATCCTCACCCTTGCCCGGCAGTTTTTATAGTATCTGAAATAGAGTAGGGGCATAAGAAAATTTTGAGAAGTGAAAGAATGGCCAACACATGTTAAGTCACGGCTTAGAAACGGTGTGGAGTGCTCTGCACGCATTTTTTCATGCGCTGCTCAATGCACCACTAAGATGGAGAGATAGGTTATGTACCTCTTATCTGAAATGCTTGGGACCAGAAATGTTTAAGATTTCAGTTTGTCATGTTTTGGAATGTTTGTATACACATAAAGAGATATCTTAGGGGCAGGGACCTAAGATATCTAAACCTGAAATTCAGTTTCACATACACTTTACATGCTGCGGTACCTCGGATTAGGAATTTAATTCATTTCACGACATGGAGGAAGACATCCGCATTTATGCGTGAACGGGGAAGGTGGCTGTGGTCGTGTTTGTCACTTGATGCGGAGAATTTTGCAGCAAGTTTTTGTTTGCGAACCAAATTGTTTGCCAACCGAAGTGTTCGTGAACCAAGGTGTTCTGTTCGTATATAGTCTGAACATAATTGCACGCAATATTTTTAGTGCACCTGTGTTTTGACTGCAACTTGCCGTATGAGGTCAGGTGTCGAATTTGGACTTGTGGTATCTAATGTGTTGGTGCTCAAAATATTTTGGGTTAGGAAGAATTGGCGATGCCCGGCCATCATAATGATGGTACCCACTGGGCACAGCTGGGTAAGTGGAGGCTGAGACTGCCTCACAAGTGGTAGAGCCGGGGTTCTAACTTGGAGCTGGAGCATATAAGCACCCCTTCATGCTGCCTTTCAAACTCCCTCAGGGGGTGCCTGTCCCCAGGCTTGCATTCCCCACCTCACAATTCCTGTGGTTCCTGTGGTATAGGCACCTTTGGTGGAATGTAAGAGAATTCTTTCTAGGTGGTGCCAGATAAGTATTTTGAAATAACTAGATATTTGTTTAATGTGCAAGAAAAGTGACTTAGCACAATATACTTGTGGTTTTTCTGTAAGTATTGCTTAAGATAAGTCTAAAGGAATAGAAACACATTATTTAAAATTGACGGGAAAAGAGTAAGTCAATAGTGTCAAGTAGTAGAAGGATAGAGTACAGATCTAAGGTGTTTTGTGACTGGAGCCTGGGAAACACTTACCTGTGGAAGTGGTGGCCCTGAACACCAAACCCCAGCCAGTTCCCAGGGCCACCCAAAGATGGACAGGGCTCGGGAATCCAGCTCAGGACACTGAGTGAGCTGTCTCACGTGCTGTTTCTGTTCTGCCTCTACAGATAGCCTGCCCTGAAGGGGCCTCACACACCAAGGTCAAGAAGTGTTAAGAAGGAGGTGTTTGGGCCACCACTTTACCCAGCCCAGGAAGGACTTAGCCTACCTCTCAGCTGGACCTTGCTTTAGCTCTGTGAATCAATCAGCAGCAGAAGACTGATCTACAGAGAGCCACAGGGGGCCACCAAGGGGAGCAGGAGCACTGCTCACACGAGCGGCCCCAGCCGAGGCTTGCTGGCTTCTCCATCGCCGAGGACAGCAGCACGATGCTGAGCCCTCATTTCCCACCCCCACCCCTTGGGCCCAGCGAAGGGACACCTTCCCCCTGCAGCTTCCAGATCCCTGATGGGAGATACAGGTGTCTGGCTCTGGAGGCGGAGGAGAGCAGCAGTGAGGAGGGTCTGCAGGGAGAGATGGGGCTCACGGACCCAGAAGAGGACAAAGAGGTGCCACAACTGCCTAGAGTCCTGGACACTCGGCCATCCCGCTGCTCCAGAGAAGTCCGAGGGGGAACCCAGCATGATGACGGGTCCAGCCAGGACTGGGACGTGGTGACAGCCCGGAGGGTGATGATATCCAGCCCCAGCCCCATCCCCGAGCTCAGGGTGGCCCGGAAACCAGGTAAGCATGCTTCCCTTTCTCCAGGGTAACAGGAAACCCCAGAGGCCTTAAGCATGTGCCTTGGGCATATTTCCCATGATGGATAATAATCTGTGACAGTCTCACGCGTGTCCCAGATTAACAGCTGTGGCAACGAATGCCTGCAGGTTACGTGTGGTTCCTGCGGCCCCACATCTGACCTCACTTCTGTCTGCCACAGAGGGCGTGTGAGAAGGCAGTGAGAGAAAGCCGTGATATCAGCGTGCTTGAAAGAAGGTCCACTTGTACCCTCACCTGCCCTGCAGTCATCAGGGGTAACAAGTGACTGTAAAGTCTGAAGCAGCTGATGTGGCAGGATCCACACGCTGGGGTGCAAGCCGAATAGAGCAGATGCGGTCACTACTCTCGCTGAGCGTACAGGGTGGAGAGGGCGCCTCTGAGCTAAAGCCGAGCTCTGGGGAACCAAGAGCCAGAGTGAGCGACAGTGCTGCGGGTCACTCAGCCTAGCAGTGGCTGAGCTGGGCCCCATGTTCCACCCCTTGGCCTCGGTTTCCCATCTGCCAGAGATGACAAAGGCAAAAGCCATGTCACCTGGGCTACAGTGGGATCCAGTGACGGCTGCAGGGAGGCTCTGTGTGCGTCGGAAGGAAGGCGGGAGCAAGGATCATTTTCCTGCAGCGCAGGGCGGGGCGGGAAGCCCACACTGAATCACCTCCACCCCCGCCGGCCCATGGAAACGCTGAAGTGGGTCCAGGTGGGGAGGACGTGAGGGGGGCCATGCTCGACTCAGTACAGATCCCGGGGGTGCAGGGTGTGGGGGAGACACAGCCCTGGGAGGGCCTGTGCGCCAGGAAACTGAAGGAACACTTCATTTCTCTGCAGGCGTCACTGACGCCCTGGCTGGCATCTCACCAGCCTTCCCGCCTACTCTGCTCTCTGAAATAATTCTCTCCAGAATCTGATCACCCCGCATGGGTGCAGTTCCTGCCCAGGTTTGGGTCACACAGGGAGCTGGGTGGGAGAAAGAAGAGACCTTAATGCCTCTGGCAGGTAGGGGGGACCCACAGGCTCAGCAGTCTTGAACTGTAAGGTGGATCCTCATCCCCGAGAGAGCCAAATACAAGTCCCTTGGAACTCAAGGGCCCCCAGGACCTGCTCGCTCCCTTTGCACAGACCACAGCTGGGGTCAGGAGATGGTGTTGTGGTGGTGTGCGGGCTGCTTCTGTACCCACAGCCTACTAACCAAACCGTAGCAAGTCCCTTCCCCTGGGTGCGCTTCCGTCTTTTTCATCTGCGAAAATAAAATAAAAGCATAAGCCCTACTTGCTTGATAGGTTTCAGTGATCTCAGATACGGCAGTGTCTAGGAAGCGATGTTAATAATAGTTGAAATGATCATCGTTAGCTCAACAGTATAACGGCTGTTTGTTGAGCCCTGATGTGCTAAACCCATTGTGCTAAGAGCTTTAGTACCATCCCTTGATCTCATGGCAATGTCCACAAGACCCATACCGTTATCATCCCCATTTTAAGATGAGAAGACCGAAACTCAGAGAATGTAAGTGACTTGTCCAAGATGTGGGGCTTACACCATGATTCAACCTTGGTGTTCTAAACTGGGGGCTTGTGCTCTTCTGGAGTCATAAGTTCTGGCCCAAACAGTCTAGGACAAAAGGGGTAGGAGCAACCTCAGGAGGACAGAATGGACCGAGTGGATGGGGAAGACTTTTCAGAGGTAAAGGCAGGAGGGAAGCTGGGTCTCCCTAGAGAGTCAAACTCCAGGAGGTCCTGGGTTAGAGCCCTGGAGGCCTTTCTGCTCCCTGGGGAAAGGGTGTGGCCAGAGTCCCTCCCTCTGCCTGGAGCACCACGGAAGAGCCTAAGGAGCTGCCAGCTTTAGTGGCTTACAGCTAGCTTCCTCTGAGAGCTTCTTCCCTTCACTGCTGGAAGATTAGAACTATCTCCAGACAGTTACTCCCCTCTGAAATGATTCCCCCATGTAAGAACGAGCTGTGGCACCATCTGTCTTACACACTGCAGACTTTTATTTGGGGTAGGTGGGTACTGACACTTTTTCTCTGAGATCTGAGTACTAGTCAGGCAGGGCAGGCTGGAGGGGGAGCAGCTGCAGGGACTGAGGTGGACAGCAGCCTGAAGCTCGAGTTTCTTGCCACCAGCTGCTGCTGCTTGGGAGAATACGGGTGGGAAGGAAAGTGTAACACTGGGCTCCTGATCAGGCCTCAGGCGAACACGAGCTGGTCCAGAGCTCACAAAGAAAACCACAGCTGCCCTCTGCACGAAGTCTCAGTGGGCCACTCCTGGCGGGGCCCACTGAGATTATTCCACAGATAGAGGCTCTGAAGCCCAGAGATACCAAGCAATTTGTCCAAAATCACACCGTAGATTGGTGCCAGAGCTAAAGGCTGGAAAGCCAGGCTTCCCGGTTCAGCTGCCTGGCCATATGCTAAATGCTTTGAATGAATTATATCATCTCATCTAAGGAGCCCTGTGAAATGTATACTTTTCTTATCTCTGTTTTACAGAGGAGGAGGAAACTAAGGCATAAGAAGTTTAAGTGAAGTGTCAATCTCAAACGCGTGGGTGGAGGAGCCAGAATTTGAACCCTGAGAGGTCTGGGACTATGCTTTGAAGCACCCTCTCTCCATGGAGACAGCAGGCTGTGCTCTTCCATCCACTTGGAAGTGGGAAAAGGTAGCGCAGGCTCGAGTAGGTGGGGATTAGCCACATTCCAGACCCTTGAGGTGCCCTGGGGACACCTGGGACCCGCTGCTGATCCAGGCTGTCCTGGTTGGTGCCATTTGTTGTCACGGCGGGGGCGTCTAGAGGACCTCCAGTCTAGTGGACACTGCCCCGAGCCTCAGGGATAGGAGTAGGGAAGGGCACGGGTCTAGGTGTCCCATAAGGCCCCCCAGAGCCACACCTATCTTGACAGGGCAGAGGAGCCTGCGCCCACTGACCAGCTGACAGTGGCCCCGGGGGCCCAGGACAAAGGCGTGCTCCTCAGGCTCCTGGGAGACAGGCTGGGCAGAGCAGCAGGTTGGCGGGAACCTGCCCATCCCCCTTCCACTCCTGGCCCTGCAGAGGCAGAGGCCGCAGCGGGGGTTACTGGTGGGAGCACTGTTCACAGGCTCCGGGCACCTCACCGTGCACCCACACAGACACCATGGCTTGCCGCCATGGACACGCTCCTGCACACCCAGGAGGCATACACACCCTGTTCCCGGGCAGACATCATCACACATCTGCACACGTGTGAATGCCCTCAGATGGACATGGGTGAACATGCTCCCAAAGGCTCCCTCACGCATCACGCCTGTCACGTGGGGACCGGTGTTTCAGACTGACTTGTAGAGGTACAGTGTCGCCTGGAAACACTGCACGAGCAAGTGCATGCATGTGCTCCCTCCTGCAGATACAAGCTAACAACATGTTCTGTTTTCCTTTCTCCTTTGCTACACACCTACGCTTTGAGCTCTCTTGCATTCATAGTCTCCCCTATAGGTATATCCGTTCTTGCACACCCACTGTCACACACCTACGTAAAGACCAAGCCACTTTCTCTCTGTCTTTCTTTCCCTGTCTTTCTCTTTCATACCCACCCATGCAGTAATCCTGGCCTCTCTCTCTCACCCACACAGTTGTTTCCTGGTTTCCCATGTCTTTGCTATAGCTATTCCTCCAGCCCATGCCACACTCCGTGTAAGCGGTACCCTGCCTGGTGTCAATCTCCAGGACTGTTCCTGTCCCCCACCTTGGTACACTAGGGTCACAGGGGGCCAGAGAGGGCTTGTCTTCGAGGTCACCTACCGCTCCTCTGAGCCCGCCCACTGGGGACAGCTGTCCTCAACCCGTCCGTGTTTCAGAGTGGGGGGTGGGTGAGCATCAGCATATTTCTAACTTCCTGTAGCAGAAGTCTAAGCAACGCTCTTGATGCAGAAGACTGATGAGCATGGAACCACCCTGGTAGGAAGCGGGAGAGACCAGGGAAACTCCACAGAAACCCAGGCTGCCACTTTCCCAAGCGTGGTCCCACCAGGGGTGCGAAGGGTGCTTGTGGAGGTTTTGTTTCCAAGCCCATCCATCCCTCCCCGCGGGAGGGTCTGGGGCATGTGAGAATGTGGGCTTTTAGCAGCATCCCCGTGTGGCCAATGTGCGGAAACTGCCGGGGACAGGGCTGTCCCCAGCTCAGGGTCAGTATCGTGCCCTTCAAGGGGAAGATGCGCACTGGGACCTACTGAGGCCACTGACCAAGTCAGGGGACCACGCCCTCCTCGGCCCCTGTGCCCCAGTGCTACCGAAGGAGAGTTACTGGGGCCACTGAGGCCGAGGTGAAGCGGTTGGGGCACTCACTGCCTCTGGGGTGGGAGGTGGTGTCCCCTGTGGGGACAGACTGGTGGGTAGATTTAGAAGGCGTGGGCAGTGAAGGAAGCAAGAAAAAAGAAGGGACGTGAGATGGCGACACACCGCGTGAGAAAACGTACAGACGGTTCAGGGACAGACCGACAAGCCTAGCGGTGCCGAGAACCAGGAGGAACGAGGAGGAAGCGGAGAGACGCACGAGCCCAGCGAGAGCAGAGGGTGGGGGACAGACTGGTGGGTAGATTTAGAAGGCGTGGGCAGTGAAGGAAGCAAGAAAAAAGAAGGGACGTGAGATGGCGACACACCGCGTGAGAAAACGTACAGACGGTTCAGGGACAGACCGACAAGCCTAGCGGTGCCGAGAACCAGGAGGAACGAGGAGGAAGCGGAGAGACGCACGAGCCCAGCGAGAGCAGAGGGTGGGGGGCGGCGGCGGCGGAGGGAGTCGCACCCAAGTAAACTCACAGAGTTGCAGCACCTTTCTCTGTGGAGTACTTCACATTGA